CTCCTCTGTATTTCTGCTGGTAACCTGTGACAAATTTTCAAACCTATTGTCGGGGGGGGGGGGGGGGGGGGGGGGGGGGGGGGGGAGAGGGGAGGAGGGGGGCGGAATTACCTGCTTAAGGGGTATGATTCTACAACCCTTACTTATGTGACTAATCCTTCCCTTACTTACATGAATAACCCAATGACATCAATAGCACTACTTGACTGAATAAGAGTTATTTATATGAGTGAGAATTACTGGATCAGGCCCTGAGAAGAAAACAATTTTAAAAATTGTAAGGGACCTGCAAAGAATGCTGACATATGACTGTGAAAGGACTTTTTTTTAAATTAAAGCTGGTACTCCAATAGCAAGCCGGAAGTGCTCCAAAATAGGAGGAAAACCTACTCTAGATGATGTGAAGTTTGTGGATTGCGATACGAACCTGAAAATGCTAAAGGATCAGGTAATCCTATCTTTTAATATCTTTTAATTTTAAAGGGTTGCTACAACTACAGAGAAGAGGGGCTATAATGACCTTCATGATCTGAGTTTGGGATATGGATTCCAAATGCAGAGTTGATTGAAACAAGAAACAGTGGGCTAAAATCACCAGTACATTCTGGTTGCTTTGCTCTTCCCTAGCCCAGTGAGTAGTTGCCCACTTTTTAAGAACTAAACGTTTTATAACTGTAAAATGGTATGTCACAGATTTATAAAGATAGGTTCATTAGAAAATAGGATAAATAACAGATTTGTCTTCATCAATAAAACTGTTATAAAGTATAATGAAGCTTTCAACCTGTTTCAGGCCATTGGTTATGATTTCATATTACAATATAGCTGCACATACAGAAAATAAATAAAGGTGGGATTTTCAAAAGCACTCACTTCTGGCCTGTGACTTCCCATTTGATTTGAGTGGGAGCAGAGTTCAATGCTGAATACTTGAAAACGCCACCCAAAAATAAATTGGGAGAAAAGAGAGGAGAAGCAAGCTTATACATTGTCCCCTAGGTTCTCTCTGAAATGGGCATTCCAAAGTATAGGGTTTTTTTTGCTTGTTATTTTAAAACTCATGAGCCTGCAAACTTTTATGCCTTCTTAGAGTGAAGCTGTACCTACTTTAAACCCCAGTTTAAAACAAAACAAAAAAGCTACAATCCATGTAACTAGCAAAGATGTGCCAATTCTTCATCATATTTATTTGCTCCCATGTACTGTCACCAACTCTATCCTTGTTCTGATTGCATCTTTAGATTGTGAGCCTGTCAGGGCAGGGTTTGTCTCTCTTTTTCTGTACAGTGTCAGACTGGGGCCTCGGGAAGCTACCATAATATAAATATTTACTACTAATAATAATAGTAATAACATAGGCTCTGTATTTGTGTTTTCAGTTTAAATTGTTGCCCACAATATTTTTTTAACTTTTGAAGTTAGACTGCCACCTAGTGAATTTTAAAATAAACTAAACATTTTTCAGTTACAAATGATGATGGAAAATTGATGGAAAGCTATATCTGCAATGATCAGGAATTACCACTTTTGTAAAGGCCCATAACCCAGACTGTTTCTCCTGTGCTCTCAATGCTAAGGACTCTGAAAAAATCAGGTCATAGGAGTCTCAAGTTAGGAACCCCAAATTGGTGGATATTTCTGACCTTAATCTTTGTGTTTCAGTACCCCATCTGTAACATGGGGATAATTTGAAAATAAACTAAGGATTTTGAGGCACTCAGATATAATAGTGATAGGTGCCATGAGAAATTAATACTATATCCAGGCCAGGGTTTAAATAGTGTGCAGTAAATAAGGCATACGGGCACATGAATCCAATTATCCAGGTCATCATTCAGATGTTATAACCATGAGATCATCCTCTCTTCTGTCACTGTCCTGCTTCCTTCACTACACCCTTTCCAACTTCTGCAACAAATGAAGCAGGGGTCCTGCAGACAACAGCCTCCTTTACTACATAAACCTGACTCACCCCCAGAGAAGGTGCCTTGAATGAGGCAGGAGTCCTGTGGCAAAAATAGTATGTGATCATGTAATTAAAGACTGTATCACAATGCATACGTACACGGGGTGGGGGCAAATTAAGGTTGCACGGGCAATGTTAATTCTGACATTTTCTATTTGATTGCTTAATTTTGCAACCTTAATAATGTTCTTTAAACATAGTGTTTGTATGTAATACTCACATAATGCATCTCCTGTAGTTATTAGTGTACAACTTCACTGCTCTGCAGGCTGCAAACCCACCTCTATATCTCAGAGCTTCATTCAAGCTTTATCATTTAAAGATTTATCAGTCATACTAGAACTACTTAGAAGGACTAGGCTACTCTAGTATGGCATTTCCTTTGTTCTTCTGATGGCTTCCTAAAGTCATTTAAAATCTAATTCTGTTTATGTAGCACACATTGTGAGTGGAAGGGGCTACAGAAGTCCATGGATTCAGAAGTTCAGGGTAGGTCTTCAATGATAAAAGACCCACAAGTTCTCAGAATCTGGGCTCCAGCCCAAGCCCGAACCTCTACTCTGTAATTTTACAGCTCCACAGCCCAAGCCCCCTCACCCACCAGAAGCCCAAGTCAGCTGACCTAGGCCAGCCTTGGGTGTTTTATTGCAGTGTAAACATACCCTTAGTCATCTAGACAAGATCTTATTGTATTTCTATGAGTGAGAGAAGTGACTGTGTATAGTGGGCCAAATTCTCTGCGTGTTGATGTAAGCTGGCACAGTTCTATTGAGTTAATAGGAGCTGTGTCAGTTTATAGCAGCAAAAAATTTGGCTGTGAACCTGCTATTCTTTTATTTCATTAGAGAATGGGTATAAAGTTGGCCACTGTTTTCCCTCATATTTTCTTTGTGTGATGTACCATTTTTCTAACAGTTAAGCACTCCAGATAAAATTTTGTCCATTGCCAATGATACCCAGATCCTTACTTCTGTGCCGGAGAAACTGACCACTGAGAACATCTCTATTGCTGCTGATATTGCAGGACAGATTCTGAAAAATTATTCTCAGGTGAGATTCACCAAAACTAAAAAAGTATTTTGTTTTATGGCTTAATAGGATATAGTGTGAGTTTGGGACACTTTTCCGAGCCCCACAGCAGATCAGTCTTTTTGGTTCCACTTAACAAAAAACAACAACAAAACCCAAGTGTCTAATCTAGTTGCAATACGTTGAACTATTAAACATTGGATCTGAGTTCAGATCTCAAGCATCTTAGTAGAGTGTCCCTATCTCAGTTTCTGGGATAACATGATGGATTCACCTCTATCAATCACTTCAAATTTTGTGCATTTGAAATTCAAATATTGGAATCAACTGAACCTGACGTACTACATTAACCTCTTTTTTTGCCTATCTACATTCAAATAATGTGAGGTGCCTATGCATCGATTGGTTCAAAGACTTTTTTCCAGTAATAGCTCATTTTTATTTTAAATTTTTATTTAACAGGTTTACTACGGTAGTTCCTAAGGGCCAACCAAGAGTGGGGCCCCAATGTGCTTGGTGCTGCACAAACAGAGTAGTAAATGGTCCCTGTCCTGAAGAGATTACAATCTAAATAGACAGGATAGACACAAGACACAAAGTGGGGGAAGGGATATAACACATAAGCAAAATGTCACTAAAAGTTATGTTAGTTCCACATTATGAGTTTGTTTGTTTGTTGTGGGGGAATTTATTTAGGAGGGGATCAGCTAAATGGAAATAAAAGAGAAGGTATGGAATGCGAGGCAGACAGGGCTGGGGAGAAGAGGGTTACTTATTCTATTTCCTTTTGATTAAGACAAGTGTTAACAAAATATTCTATCACAATACAGCGTATTAAAAGAAGTGAGTTCATATACCATTCCTACTGAATGTTTCCCTCTATTTTGTTTGTCAGGAAGCTACTGCTACAGTGGCTGCAGTGGCTACAATTAGCCAACTTTTGGATGCCAGAGAGAGTGAATTCAACTTTGCAAATAATAACCTTACTAATATTACAGCAAGGTAATTACAATTTCTGTTTCTATTAAATTTGGTAAAACTAAACATGTCTGTCCATTTAAGATTAAAAATGGAACACAGTGGGACAAATTAATCTCCAGGGTAACTCCACTGATTCAGAAGAGTTACCCCAGGGATGAATGAAGTTGGCCCAGTTTTCCTAATCTGGAGACAGTGAGGTCTAGAGTTGGGGATGAAAAGTCAAGTTACCTGCATTCAGTTTCCAGCTTTGACACTGATTTGCTGTGTCACCTTTGACCCGTAAGTTAACCAGCACCTCGCTTTCCCTGTCTGGACAATGAGAATAGGAGTTCTTACTCTACCTCCTGGGTAGATGTGAAGCTTAATGAATATTAATAAACACTTAGAGGTTCTTGTATGAAAGGAATCATAGAATTTAAAGTATTATTATTACTAGTAGGATATCCAGAGAATGGAAAAGGTGAATTACTAGCATGCTTAAAGGAGCAGGTTCCTGGACACATTGACACAATTAGAAAAAAATCTCCCACTTATTTAACCAACTATTAAATTGTAGCAATATTCTAGATTTTCCCCCTTGATGCATAAAAGGCCAAATCCTAGTTCCACTGAAGTCAAAGGCAAATCTCCCATTGACTTCAACAGTAATGGGATTTGGCCCATTAGAATAAGAGATTTTTGGCCAAATTCTTCCCTGTCCTATACTCTATGGAACAAATTTGAAATCACTGAGGGAGGGCAGACATTGGCTCTATATTCTGATATTCTTTACAGTGGTAAAGACATTTACACCGTTCCTTACTTCAATGCAGCCTCACACAGACACTGGAAAATTTCTCTTTGAATGGCTCTGCTGTTCAGCCCAATATTGCAGTTAATCACATTTCATTGAAACCAACTACAACAACAGCTTTTTTCTCTGCACAGACAGGTAAGCTTATTTGCTTTGTGGGAATTATAAGGACAATGAGCAAATTTTTACAAATTCTAACAATTTGTACAAATTCTTTGGTGACTTTTGCCTACACAGTATCAGGAAGTTTACAGTCTGAAAATATTAAGGTAGATGAAAATGTCTCTGACTTGAAAACTGACAACGATACAGAAGTTCAAATATTGATCAACGTTACAAGGAACAGCAGTAAGTACACTCTTCTCTTCCCCAAAAACTAGTGCTGGGCAAATTCTGCACAAAAGTATTCTCACACACCTTTGACTAAAATCTATGAAAAGATGTCGTTTTTATGTACATATATTAGGGCACATATCATAGAACTAGAAGTGTACATGACAAAGCTAAACTGTGTGACCTTATCTGTGAGTCACTGCTGACTTACCTGTAACATGGCCTGAGTTGTTTTTATGTTATAACAGTAATGAATGTGTGGTTACAGAGCTACAGACTCCAAAGTGAATCTCTAAATCACACATCTCCATTAGAGGTTGGACTAAAAATTTCTGCTCCAAAACTATAGACTACTACCATGTAAGCTTAAAAAGAAAATCCCTTTTGGCTATCAAAGGATAGAGGTATATTTCCTCTTTGTATGCCAGCTGCTAGCAACCTACACACAACGGAGCAGCTCTGAATCATTCCTGTAGTATAGGATAGTGGTGCAAACAAACAGACAATAAATATAAAATTATACCCAAACACTATGTTAAATTAACATTAATATGCAAAGTTGAGCACTCAAAGATCAACTATGCAACCTTAATTTGGCCTTGTGTGTAAGCATTATGATACCGTCTATGATTGTAGTATATCATGCTATTTTTTTCACAGGACTCCTGCCTCATTCAGTACGGGGGGTGGATCGTGCTCACTGAATGAGCAGCTATTCAATATTTTGTTTTTTCCTCATTATTCAGTGTGACCTGATGCCTTATTTACTACACACTATTATGCAAACCTTTCTCTGACTAGTAATTTCCTCATGGGCTTTTTTATGATACCAGTCACTATGGTATCTGCGTGCCTGAGAAATACTAATTTATTTTCACAATATGCCTGTGAAGTAAAGGGCTATTCTTATCCCCATTTTACAGATGGGGAATTGAGGCACAGAGAGATTACAGTCAAAATTTCCACTAATCTTTTGTGCCCAATTTTTGATGCACAGGGCCCGATTTTTCAGAGTAAATGGTATAATGCAGCTCTTCAGATGTTCAAAGCACAGTGCCCATTGACTTTAATTTGCAGCTGTGACTCCTCAGCACTTCTGCAAATAAGACCCCAGGATCTCAACTTGGGCACCAGAAAAGGAGGAACACACAATTGGCTAAGCAGAAAAAATACTATTTTCTGAACAACTCTTTATATATAATATATTTGGCATATTAGGCCAAATTGTGCAATTGATGTTTAATGCAGTATGATTAATACAACAGTCTTCATCCCCCCCAAAAAAGTTTTCAGGGTATTTATATACCTCCTCCCCACCCCCCAAAAAATTCATAACCTTTAAAACATCCCAAATGGTTCAAGAAATATTTGAGAAGTTTTGCAAATATGCAGTAGGTGATTGGTAGATACAGATAAGTAATTAATTTTTGACATGAGGGAGTCTCTACCTTTAGTTTGTCACTAGTCTGATTCTTTATTAAATTATAAGAAAACTTGTTAAACTTAGTTTATAAATGGAAAGCAAAGAGGCCATTTTGTTTTTGGTGTACTGCATCTTTAAATAATGAGTAGTCTGCTTGTCTGTTGCAGGGACAGTGGCTACTTTATGTTTCATTAAACTGGGAGTGACCCCTATATTTAGGTTGCCTAACATTGTTCCTTTATAAAATTCCTTAAGACCTTTTTTAAAACAAGTTCTAACACCTCAAATTTGCAGCAGGCTTCTGAAATATGGCAATGAGAAATGCCGGGAGCTAGAGAGAAATGTCTTTTCTTATTCCTATGAAAATCTGTTCAGGTTTTGCTGAGTTACACATGTTTGAAAACTGATACTTCCCTTATGTTCCTCAGGGAAATTATTACAACTTGCCAAAATAATGGTGCCATGAACATTCTAAAGTGCTAGGCCTCTGCTGCTACCAAAGCATCAGCATTAGCACACACACGCAGTACCTGGGAACACCTGGGCGGTGCTGGAGCAGCTGTAAGGGTGGTATGAGAGAGGCAGCCCATTCCCTCCCCTGGGGATTACATAGGTAATAGCACAGTAGAAGGCTGTTTTAGCCTGGTAGCTCCAGTGGTGTAGAAGTCTGTGCTGTAGTACAGGACAGTCAAGTTTCAAATGATGCATGATTGTCACAGTTGCACATAAAAGTGTGGTGTTTTGTTTCAAAGTCAAGCACTCAAAAGTTAGGAAATGCCAGATAGACAATTTCCTGTGTAATCTTAATTCTTAATTCTGTGCATATTTATTATGGTACAGACTTTAATTTCATGATTACAATTTGATTAGTTCATGATTAATTTCATAATTACAAACCATTTTTTTCCACAGGACGCCTGCCTCATTCAGTGAACATGAGGGATGCACAAAAGGACAATATTAAAGTTGGCTTATCAAACGTAAATCTGGCATTTCCTAATTTTCAAATGCTTGACTTTGTAACCTAAATAATAACATTCTTTTAACCGTTCTTAATGTAATTTCAGTTGCAGAATGATTGAGCTACTGTGTTCTCCTTCACATGCAGACTTTATATTTGTTCTCTCTTTCCTTGTTGTTTTCCTTTATCTGAATAAAATCATCTAGGCTAAAAAAAAGTACATCTTCTGCTCTTTGTGTGGTGGAAGACAACAATAAACCCCAGAGAACTGGTTAAAATAGCTACTGTCTTTCCTCATCTTCATTACAAGTATACAGTTTAAAAAAAAATTTCATTCTTAGAAGTTATTTTCACAGATGTCTAACTGTCTCTTAACTTCTGTAATGTCATCTCTGCTTAGTTGCTTATTCATTGATTTGATACTAGTAAAAGGTGCTATACAAATAAATAAATACACTGGAAGACTCTAAACCAGTGTGATCTAATTGCTCTGTAGCTCTTATTATTATTTTCACAGTCTCGTTCACCCTAAGAGAGACAATTCTGCAGCTCTGCTCCACCTTCCCCATCCTAAAGGAGATGCAGTCTGCAGACTGATATACACCTCTACCCTGATATAACACTGTCCTTGGGAGCCAAAATTTTTACCATGTTATAGGTGAAACCGCGTTATATCGAACTTGCTTTGATCCGCCAGAATGCGCAGCCTCCCCCACCCCCCGGAGCACTGCTTTACTGCGTTATATCCGAATTCGTGTTATATCAGGTCGCGTTATATTGGGGTAGAGGTGTATTAGCATTTTCCTCTTTGTTTGCAATATTTTTCTCTATTTTTGTCAATATTATGACTTCAATTTGTTGTTTAAGTTAATACATTGTAAAAAGCCATTTTAAAGTAGTTTTTTGTATGTAATTTCCTAGGTTTTCTTAAATTGAAAAGGTAAATACAAATTCTACTATGTGCAACTGTAAAAAAACCCACCCTGAGCCTTCTGCACTGCAGCATAGACTGTAACAGGAGTTCTTGAGGTACAGGTTTAACTATATTAGCTGGCAGAAATAGAAGGCTGTTATCCCAGAGGGGCAGGATGGCCCACTGTGCTGTATTGGGAGTGGAGGGATGGAGCTCAGCCTTGCTTAGCTCTTGGGTGAGCACCTGCTCCATGAGGTATCTCCAGAAGATGGAAATAAGCTACTGGGGCCAGATGCTGTGCAGAGAATGTGTATGTTGGGGCAGAGCCATCTATCCCAGTTTCTGTCCCATATAGTGCATGACCCACTGAGGCCATGTGCTGGGTCTGAGAGAAAAAGACCAGGATCTCTTCTGCCCCATCCCTACAGCTGCTCAGGCAGCTTTCACATATTCCCAGCACTGTGTCTGATTCTATTGCTGTGGCTTTGTCATCGTTGTGAACCTGGAAATTGGGAATGTTCATACATGTAGTTATTTCTTGCAGACTGCCAACATTGCTGTGTATAACGGAGGTGTAAGAGCTTCTCAAAGGATCTTTTACAATGGAAGTGTTAGGCAAGCTAAATATAGGAGTTGCTATCAGCTCCTCCTATAATAATCCGTTCCATTAGTATCTATGACCTACATCTCTTTTCTCTTTGCCCAATGTAGGTTCATCTGGAGATGGAAGTATTGGCTTTGTCTTGTATCAAAATGACAAATTTTTCCAATCAAAAAATTACAAGACTCATTTTAATCATGCTAAACAAATTATCTCTGGCAAACTTGCTAATGGAATAGATGTTAATGATGTTAAAATGGTCTTCAACCCAAAGGTGAGTCCTCTTATAAGTAGAACTGAGAGAAAGGGCATTCTAGAGAATGTTACATAGAAAATATTGCTGTTGCAGCCTCAATTATTTACCATTTAAATTGCCATAGCACCTACTGGCCACAACCAGATGTGGTAGGCACTATGCAAACATATAGTAAATGACAGTCTCTATCCCCTCAACGTTGTAGCTGTATTCATAGAAGGTAGGAAGTTTACAGTTTTTAAAAGGCTCTAGAGCTTTGTTTACCTTTATTCTTTTTTGTCTTCAAAAGGACAACGTAATTCTATCATTGTTCAGTTATTGGCGTGGGAGGGATGCCACCCAGACAGAAGAAGACTTGTCGACACTTAAAAGTTCAGCTGCTTTAACTATGCTGGTATAGTTAAAACAGCAAAGCTGCGTAATGTATACTGGTATAAAAGTGCTTGTACTGGCATAGCTTTTTCCACTTAGGTAAAGTGAAATAACCTAAATTTGTATAAAGCGCCTTACACTGGTGGTGTTGGTAGTCCATCGGTAACAATGATGATGATATCACAAATCTCATCTGTGGCTACGCATATGACTCTGAAGTCCGAACCCTGATGCAGAGAATCAGCCGCACTGAGGGTATGGGAAGGCCGTATCCATGATGTTTGATGATGCAGCTTTATGGCACCTTTCACATGCAGCCTGGAGATGCTTGTGTCAATCCTGCTCTAAATTATTGCATGCTTCTCTTGTCAGAGACCGCCAGTGAGTCCTGTTCTGAGTAATTTGCTCAAGTTCTTTGAGGCTAATGCCAGCCCACTGGAGAGTGCTCTTCAGGCTGTCTTTGAAGCACTTGTACAGATGACCCTTCTTTCTTTTGCCCTGCCTCAGCTCCTCATACAAGATCTGTTTTGGGAGGCGGTGGTCTTCCATTCTGATGGTCCAGTCCACCTAAGTTGCACTCTCAACAACTTTTCCTTGCTGCTGGTTATGTTTGCTCTCTCAAGGACCTTAATGTTGGTCACTCTGTCGTGCCAGCAAATGCTCATTACTGAGTGGAGGGAGCGCATGTGAAATTGCTCGAGCTGTTTAATATGCCGTCTATAGAGAGTTCATGTCTCAGAACTGTAAAGGAGAGATGTTAGGACCACTACACTATAGATCTTCAATTTGGCGGAGAATGGATGTTGTGTTGATTGAGGACTTTTGTTCGAAGTCGGCCAAGGGCCTGGCTAGCTTTACTATTCTAAAGGCAATTTCCTTGTCAAGGGAACCAGCACTGCAGGTGGTACTGCCCAGATGCTTGAGCTGATCCACATTTTTCAACTTTGTGCCTCGGATGGAGATGGCTGGCATTGGGGCATTGGAAATGAGGTGCAGGTTGGAACAAAACCTCTGTCTTACCAAGACTAATGGTGAGGCCAAAGAGCTGGGATGCTTCAGAAAATCTGTCAGCGATTACCTGAAGGTCATTATGCTTGTGGGCCATCAGGGCAAAGAGTGCTTCAACGAGAAATCTCTCTGACGTCTTGGTCTTAGTGTTTAATCTTCGAAGATCAAACAGGGAGCCATTGAGTCGGTAACGGATGCGTATCCCCTGAGCCAAGTCCCTTGTGGCATGGCTGAGGATGCAAGTAAAGTACAAGTTGAATGAAGCCTTGTTTTACTCCATTCAAGATTTTGAATGTGTCAGAAGAGTGACCGTTGGAGAGCACTTGCCCTGTCATGTGATCATGGAACTGGTCCTTCTGGGCAGCCCAGTTTATGTAGAATAGCCCACAGACCCTCTCTGTTGACCATATCAAAGGCTTTGGTCAAGCCGATGAAGACTGCATACACGTCCATGTTCTGCTCTGAACATTTTTCCTGGACCTGCCTTACAACAAAAATAAGTCCGTAGAGCTATGACCTGGTGTAAAACCACACTGCGCTTCAGGCAAATTCTCCTCAGATATATTTGCAAAGAGTCTCTTCAGTAGAATGTGAGCAAGTATTTTCCTTGCTGTACAAAAGAGAGTAATGCCTTAGTAGCAGGGGCGGCTCTATGTTTTTTGCTGCCCCAAGCACAGCAGTCAGGCCGGCTTCGGCGGCACGCTTGTGGGCAGTCCGCAGTCACGCGGATTCAGCGGCGTTACTGCGGGTGATCTGCCGGTCCCGCAGCTTTGGTGTACTCGCCGTTGAAACCACAGGATCGGTGGACCTCCCGCAGGCACGCCGCCAAAGGCCGCCTGACTGCCGCCCTCACAGTGAACGACACACCTCCCCCCGTGGCTTGCCACCCCAGGCATATGCTTGCTGTGCTGGTGCCTGGAGCCGCCCCTGCTTTGTAGTTTCCACAGTCAGCTTTCCTGCCTTTGTTGTTGAACAGTAATACAATGGTAGCATTCTTGAAGTCTTGTGGCATTTCTTCTTCTTCCTAGATACTGCTCAAGATGTTGTGGAGCACTTCGGTAGCCTTTGGGCCTGCTGCTTTGTACAGTTCTGTTGGGATTCCATCCTTTTCGGATGCCTTGCCAGAGTTCAGTTGTTTGATGGCTTTTGAGTCTTGTTCAACTGATAGAGAGGTCTAGGTCCTTTTAGATATGTTTCTCAGGTAGTTGATCAAAGGCACATTGATCAGCTGTGTATACTAGCATAACTGCATCTACACTCAGCTTTTACTGGCATCGCTATGTTAGCAAAAAAATCACATCCCTAACTGACATAGTTCTGCTGGTAAAACTTCAGGTATAGACCAGAGCCTAAATCAGAAATTTGAGAGGGACAAAAATAGTCATTTCCCTACAGGAAATATAATATAATAAGAATATAATAAATTCTGGGAACAGGAAAAGGATAATATACCAAATGCAGCCCAACGTGCCTATTCATTTTTGGGTGTTACCTGAATTCTACTTGCTTTTTTTTTTAATCGTATCCCTTAAACTCTGCCTTCTTCAGAGATAACTCCAAATGCCTCTTGAAATAGCTGTATGTTTTGCCTCAATTGTCTTCTCCCCAAACTTGTTCTATATGTTTATTAGCTTTTGCATGCAGTGGTCTGTGTGAATTTCCTATTTGATCATGATTTCTGAATTTTTAGATTACATTGTCACACTGTCTGGAATGGCTCAGGACCATGAGAGCCTACCTCAGGGCAGACTGTCAAAAGCAGGGAAGACACCCCAAATTGGTGGTGTGTTCTGTAATTAGACTTCACCAATCCAGTATCAAATGTGAACTCCCAAAGTACAACAATAGTCTTCTAGTGGAGTCACAAAAAGTCCCTATAGACACTCCAGTCTATCTTGCCACCCAGGCAAGCAGGACTATGTGATAAATGGTCACTTACACCAAAAATCACAAAACACCAGGTTACACTCAGCCCCAGAAACCAGTCTCTCACCCAGGTCGATTTGCATCCTAGATCTCATACCAAAGACAAAACTGGTAGCCAATTCTATAGTAAACTAACTAAAGTCTTATTAGCCAGGAAAAACAAATGAGAGTTATTGAGAAGTTAAAGCCGGTAAAATATATGTACAGGTGAGTCACAGCCCATAATTCCAAATACTAGCCGAGATGTAGTAATCTGCCAGTTTCCCAAAAGTCTCTCAGGGCTACCCAGAGTAACTCTGGGGATCTCCGTCTTCTCATTCAGTTATTCTGCCCTGTTAGAATCCAGATAGTCCAGAGATGAAGAATTCTTCCTTCTGTCCATACTTATATCCTCTTCTCACAGAAAACAAACTGACAGGGTCCCTACCCACATGGGCTCTTTCTTTGACTGGCAGAGAGAGAGGAATGCATTTAGAGTCTTTGATCTCTGATCATCATACACAATGACCACTTGCCTACAAATGCACAGGAATTAGTGCTTTCCAGTTAAAGTTCTTTATTTGCGTTACACAAGGCTTCTTCAATGTAAATGTTTGGTATTACATTATAATAGAATACAAAACAGTAAAAAAATGCATGCAGCATCCCATTAGTTTTCATGAAGTTTAAACACCAAATGCATTCTTATAGATTTAACAATCACTTTGATTTACACTAAAACACAAGTGAATTGGCCTGGCATCCAGCTATGCATTTTAAGCATTGAGTAAGGCCTGGGATGTTGGCGTGAGTTGGCACCTTGTCTGCCAACATCACATGAATTTTTTTCTGGAAGGTAACATTTGGCCTCTTCCTACAAGCCTTTCTTATCATGTGGCTAAGATTTGGAGGATCAAACCCATTAATGTGATGGATCAAGATTCACTATGATAGATCATAAAACTGGGTGGATTGGAAAATAAGTATCACTCATATTGATTACAGTGAATTAAACCCTATCTTTAGTTTCAGATTGGTTTTTACAATACAGCTGCATAATACTTTCTTTCATGTGAGCATTTCAAAGTCCTCTGTATATATTTGAAGTCCATCTATGATACACAAATAATGCAAAGGGATGTTTTAATTGCAGATTTCTACAGATGTTATGCAAATGTAAAATTGCATGCTTTATTTATTAAAAGTATTAAACAGTCGCATTTGGAGGAGAGGAGTAGAATTGCCAGTGGAATGCAGAAGTTTCTACCTCTTGGTTGTAGTGCAAACCCAATTCATTTTGGCAGCATTTATCTGATGATTGCTGTTTGGCATATGTGAAACAAGCTGGCCTCTATCCAATTCCCACTGGACATGTGTTTCTATCATAATTACCAAAACAATTTCAGCAAATTGGCAGCTTGTTGGCAGTCTCAACCATGATGTAAATGGAGACTGAACTATCCTCTTACCCCTCAAATGGAAAGTTGAGGTGTATGGTCAGTTCATAAGGCTTAATTGTCTTCAACATAAGATCTCCCACGAAGTTGACTGGAAACTCTGCAAATGTCCCAGTATATGTGTCAGCTTTCCCTTCAGAAAGAACTGTCTTTGCCAAACACAGTTTCATTGGTGTATCTTTGCAAAGTGTTTGTTACCAGTTTTTCTTCTTGTATTCCCAATCCACAGTATGATGCATCGGAAATGCTGCTGCACGATTATGCATGTGTCTTTTGGGATTACAGTGCAAATGACTGGAGCACAACAGGCTGCACAAAAGAAGGAAACAAAACGGAATTGAGATGCAGGTGTAATCACACTACTAGTTTTGCTGTATTAATGGTAGGACATTGTTTTTTAACAGCAAATCATTTGTCTTTTCTTCTCTGTTGTTGGTGGCTTTATAATAGCAGAACCTAAGTATAAGGTCTGTTCCAAACATACAGGACGATGCAGTCCCTGCCCCCAAAGAACTAATAATCTAAGAGGAGCAACAGAAGAGTGGGGGAGGGAGAGAAAACCATACAATCAAGATTTTTAAAAGATCAGCTATCCCCAACTTCCCCTTTATATAGACATTGCTAGTTGACCAATTTCTTATAGATATCATGGGAGAAGTAATGCTTGAGGGAGCATAGGGATTGACATATCAGACTAGTGTTTCACCTAGTCCAGTATCTTGTTCCTGACAGTGGTCAATACCAGATGAAAGGGAGGTGCAAGAAAATTTTTAGTTGACAATTGCAGAATAACCTTCCATAAGGGAAATTTCTTCCTAACCACTTTTAGTTAGAGGCTGAATTATGTCCTGAGGCATGAAGGTTTATTTCCATTCTAAAATATAAAAAAAATTCCAACCTTATATAACTGAATTTTCTCATTATCCATATAAATGTCTAACCCTTTGGGGAAGTCTACTAAGTTCTTAGCCTCGGTTATATCTAGCATCAATGAGTTCAATAGATTGATTTTTTTTGTGTGGTAAAAATATTTATTTTATTCATTTTAAATTTGTTGCCTCTTAGTTTCATTGAATGTCCCTTTGTTTTAATAACCAGAGAGTAATCAGGAATTAATGGCTTCTCTGTGTCATTCATTATTTTATATATCTCTGTCATATCTTCTCTAAACAAAACAGTTCCAGGGTGAAATCCTGGCCTCATGAAAGTCAATAATGGGAGTTTTGCGATCAACTTTCAGTAGGGCCAGAATTTTACCCCAATCTTTTAAATCTTACTTCATAGGCAAGTCTTTCCATGCCTCTAATAATTTTCATCACCCATCTCTCAATTGCCTTTATGTACTATATCCTTGCTGAGATAAAGTGACCAGAAATTAAAACAGTTTTGCACCTAAGGGTGTAACTTTGAATTATGTAATGGCATTATAATATTTTCAATATTATCTGTACCCAGGCCTGCCGATGGGGGTGGGGGGGCGGGGACAAAGGGGGCAATTGTCCAGGGGCCCGGGGGATTTAAAAGGACCCAGGGGCCCCCGGCCACCACCAGCAGCGCAGCGGGGCTAAGGCAGGCTTCCTGCTGCACTTGCTCCATGCCGCAGCTGCTCCTGGAAACGGCCAGCACGTCCCTGCAGCCCCTGGGGAGGGGGTCTCCGTGCGCTGCTTCCGCCCCGAGCGCCGACTCTGCAGCTCCCATTGCTGCAGGGGCAGTGCCTGCAGGCAACGGTGCGCGGAGACCCCCTTGGCCTCCCGCCTAGGAGCCACTGCCAGAGGGGTGAGCTGGTACCTTTCGGGAGCCCCCCAAAGTAAGTGCCGACCTCCAACCCTCTCCTGCACCCAAACCCTCTCCCCCAGCCTTGGATGCACACCATGCACCCCTCCCACACCCAAACTCCCTCCCATAGCCCACCCCCCGCCCCGCCCTGCACCCAAACTCCCTCCCAAGCCCGTCCCCTCTCCCTCACCCAAACTCCCTCCCAGAGCCCACATCCCGCACCCCCTCCCGCACCCAAACTCCCTCCCAGAGCCTGCACCCCTCACCCCCTCCCGCACCCAAACTCCCTCCCAGAGCCAACACCCCCTCCCGCACCCAAACTCCCTCCCAGAGCCAACA